TTGCACACATATGACAGTGTTTTTCTCAGAAACTTACCAACCACTATTTGTTTCATAAAGATACTCCAGCAAGTTAGCAACTGCTGGAGAGTAAAAACTTCCCAAAGCCATTCTCTTACAATGTGGGGGCTGAGCCTTGCTTCCTATGACATCTCTATGGAAGCCTCCTTCCTTGTCTCTAACTTCCAGTAACCCACAGATCATTGTTCTGCTTCTGACCTCATAACCCAAATATCTGTCATTATCTTCATGTGGTCTCTTATCATTGTTTTTGTATTTTATTACAAGGTTATCAGTCATGTTAGATTAAAAGTCTGTTCTACACCAACATGTACCCATCTTAACTAAACTGCATTGACTATGATCCTATTTCCAAATGACATTCTGAGTTAATGAGAAGGTTGACCTACATTTTGGGGGGATCACAATTCAACTCATAACAAAGATATTCACATGTGACAAAAAATAACCATAAAGAGAATTTGTCATCAACAAGCTTAGACTAAAATAATAACTAAAAATTTCATCTTTCCAAAGAAAATAAGTATAAACAAGGAAATCTTAGAATATAGGAAAGAATAAAGATATGAAAGGTAAATCAGAGTTAAGGAAATAGGCATTCACCATCATGATTTTAAATTTCATATTATAGTTACATAACACTTTATAATACTATTTAGTATTCTCAATATGTGTAGAAAAATGCTTAAGGTTTATAAAGGGTAGGAAACAGTGAACGCACATGGGCTAAATACTCTCCTCCAACTGTTATAATGTTAGCATCTGTGTACTTTCAACCAAGATATGTATGTCACTAAAATACTGTAGAAAATTATACCCTGAATTATTCTAGATAAGATGGACTCTGAAAGATGTTCAAGTATCAGAAACAAAGGCAGGAGAAAAAATAGAGAGGAAAACAAAACAAAAAAGAAGATGGCAGATTGAAGCCTCAACACAACAATACATACATTAAATATAAATGGCCTAAAATCACCAAAAAGACAGTCTTGTATAGTGCTTCAAAGGACCAAAATCAGGCTGCCCATAAGAAACTAACTTCAAATGCAATCATGTAGTTAGGTTGAAAGTAAATAATAGAACTAGATAAACTACATAAAGAATAACTTAGAAAATCAGTAGTTGTATGATTACTAGAAATTGTACATGCATGAACAAGAAATTATTTCCCTAGGCATTTATCTCAGGTAGGTAAAATATGTTTATATCAAATTATAAGTGAGAGAAAATAGGATCATATTTTATTGTACACGTGTAAAATTCTCAAAAAATGATTTAAAACACTTGAACTCATTGGTTCACTAATTTGTTTTAATTAGTCAAAACCACAGTATGGTATTTACATTAATAATAATATAACCCTTTTGTTGAATACAATTTGACAATACAATGGAAATACTATTGATGATTTTTATTAGAAAATTTAAGGAGAGTTTAAGGAATAGCTACAGAAAAATAACTCTCCTTCAATTTTCTAATATATATATAGAACCATCTCCAGGGAAAGACAGGTGAAAGAAAGGAATACAGGACAAATGATCATATCAACATAGTCTTCGGATTTAGCATTACAAACATCACATGGTGACAGCCATCACAAGATAACGATCTTTTCAGAAAGATGAGCGCGTTTTGAATGTGCATACTAAGGAGGTAAATGAGGAGAACTTACGCTACAACTTCCACTGCTGCAAATCAATAAATAATGTTCAAATGCCAAGAATTATTAATGTGATACTAGGTTATGTGACCCAAAATGAAAGAATAGAATAGAGAAGAGAGAAGAGAAAGGAAGGAAGGGAGGGAGGGAGGGAGGGAGGGAGGGAGGAAGAAGGATTGGAGGAAGGGCCCCTCATTTTATAGTAAACTCTGTAAAAATATCTCTTTCATCAGAACTCTACATAGACAATGGAAAAACATACTAAATGCAACAATTTATGTGTCTCTTCACTGAATAAACAACACTGTCTTGGTTAGGAATATTATTGCTGTGTAGGAAAGTATTGATCTCATCTGATAGCTTCTAGTTCATCATCTAGGAAACAGTCAGGGAAGGAATTCAGGGAAAGAACTGACACAGAGGCCACGAAGGAGTGTTGCTAGCTGGTTTGCTTGTTTGTGATTTGTTCAGCCTGCTTTATTATACCATCTAGGATCATCTGACCAGGGACAGTTTACCCATTGTAAAATGGACCCCCTAAAGCCCCACAGATTTGCCTGTAGGCCAAGTCAATGGAGACATTTTCCTGATTGGGATTTTTTCTGCCCAGTGGACCCTGGCTTGTATTCAGTTGACACAAAAGCTAACCAGGACAAACACTATCTTAAAATCGTTTCAAATGAAACAACAACAACAAATCTTTCATGCTGAAAAATGTATTATAAATCACAGAGGAAATATGTCCAATTTATTTCTTTTTCCAAGAAGTCAGCCTGCCTGACTAAGCAATACTGCATAAGAATTTACTCTTAAAACTTGTTATAGTAACAAACTTTGAATCTGTAAAAACTTATATGCTGATGTAAAAAAAAAGCCTCAAAAGTATAACCATAAAGTCAAATACCTTTTTCTCCAAAGAAGTATTTTCATTTGGAACAAGCTTATGAAAATATGACTACAGCAAGTAGATGTGATGACTGGTCCTCAGGAAGTGCAGTGTCTGGCTGCATCACAGTGTTTTCATTTATTTTCATATGATCATGTCCTACACTGATTATGTATCTTCTTTATGAGAATTAACTTGATTACACTGTTTGTGATTAATGTTAGGGTGACATTAATTTAATATCCCAAACTTAATGACCAGCTGATATTGCTTGCATCCAAATGTCTGTTAAGCTAAATTAGTTGATAACAAGCAAAAGTGAAATTTTCCTTCAACTGTGAAAATATACAGTGCATACTTTCACGTACTCAAATCTCTTTCAGAGAATTGTGGCTTAAAGTTTATGGATGTCAGTAAAGGAGGATTGGTCCAATGGCTATGGACTGCTAGTTTTCAGTTCTTAGTGTAAATCAGACTCCCCTAGAGCATCTCAAAGTAAAGCCATGAATGTTCAAACTTCATCATCTTAGAACCTCTCTCTTTGTAACAGCTTTATTGAGATTCACCACACCACCAATTCACCCACTTAAAGTGTTCAAATCAATTTTAGGATATTTTTACTACCTCTATAAAAATCTCACAAGTTATCATCCTCTACCTTCCTTTCTCCAATCCCTACAGACTTGCTGATCTACTATTTCTGTTAATCTTCCTGTTCTGGACTTGCGGTGTAAGTGAAATTGCACAATATGTAACATTTTGTTTGGCTTCTTTTACTTAGAACAAACTTCAAGCACATTCTAACACAACACCACCTGGTTCATTTGTGATATTCTATTACAGCCACATTCTATATCTCATTTAATTTTTAATCAGTTTGTGGATAGTGACCTGTTTCTACTTTGGGTCTACGATGACTGATGCTATCAATCTTTCATGTTTAAGATTTTATACAGATATGTGTTCCATTTTTCTTGATGCGATGTATCCAAGATTAGACTCCCTGAATCATGTGACAATGCTGCATTTAACCTTGGCCCCCGAAAAGCCATGTCTTAGAAGTAAAATTTAAAAGCCAATGCTTTTGACATATACATATTTATTTTCATATCACATTTTGTTGCTTGTTGCAGCAGATGTAGGCTCCCAAACCATCTCCAGAGGTCAAACCTCCCCATAACTAATGGAAGCTTCCAAAGAGATGCTGACTGCTGCCACGTAACACATCCTGGACTATCTTCTCTCACCACTTCCATTCCAGTTTGCAAAATAAAATTCAACAAAAGCACATATTCCTCTTGGGTGCTGGAGCTTTGCCATTAGCTAACTGCTTTCTCACGCTTATCCACATGGGGAATTAAATGCACTACCTATTCTAAATCAAGGCCTTGGACTTTGTCATTTACTTCTAATACCAGGTCTATGGAAGTATTATCCCATTTTTTTTCAGGTTAGAAACTGGGGTTGTAGATGTTTAATTTGCACATGTTCTTAAAACACAGTAAATCAAGATTTGTTTCTAATTCTATTGATTCCCAATTTCTCATGTTCTCATTAATTTTCTTGTCTTTTCATGATAACACTTCATCATATTAGCTGAAACCATATTGAACAGGTCATATTCTTTAAAAATCTAAAAACAAGCCTGGACTTTCATCTACCATTAATCATTCTTATTTATGTGTTATAACTTTAGGTGTTAATAGTCTTTGTGTCACTGTGCTTAGCAGAGATCATATAAATACATTTCAGTCCTCAAAGCAGACACACTGATGAAGGAACCAGATGCTAATTAACCCCAGAAACAATAGCGAAACAAATACTGAGGAAAACGTTGCATGCGAAGTATCCCTTGGGATAATTTTATTCAGCCTTTTAAATATTCAACAGCATTTCTGTTTGGAATTATGCCTCTCATAAACCATGAGGTTCTAGGAAGGACCTGCCTGTCATAAGAGCCCACACAGAGCCAAAAAGTCGTGATTGTATCAGACTGGTTGTCTACAGTGAGCCACCCATCCAGCCATAGTGAAAGAACAAAAACTGGAAGAGCATCGTATTGGGGTCAGATAGGATAGCTTGTTGTCTGCTGCCAAGGGAAGGCTCGTTTGTGTTGTGCCACACTTGAGCATGGCAAGGTGCAATAATATCCTTCCTAGGATGCCTCCATCACAAGTCAATACAGTGCTTGACAAAATCACTCAGGCATGCTAATAGTAACCATCTCCACTATGAACTGCCCTGGTCCCTGCTCATCAGAGAGGAGATGAACTGAGCCACACACTTATTCCTAAATCTGCCTCTCAGAGCATCTTTGCTTTGGTCTTTGGCCAATGTGAGTCTATGTCCTTGTTGAGAACAAAATAAAGCTATATTAATTCTTCTTTGTAGAACCACAGCATGTTTCTGAGGCTCTCATTTTCTTTTTGGCAGGCGAAATTGAGGTAAAGCCTAGAAATACTTATGGTCACAGTCGTCTTCTGGATCCCCAGAGGAGGAATCTTTCTGCAAAGAGAATCAGGCCACACTGACTTCTGGCAAGCCACAGCTGCCTCCAAAGCCAGGAGAACCTCTGTAATATCTGCTTCTAAGAGACACGGTATGTTTATTACTATTTAAACAATACAGAGGATTCTGAAACTTGTAATTAACAATACCCAAACTAAACGTGCCTATAAGTTTAGGCCAAAACAAACCAGAATATGAGATAGCAAAAATAATAGAACATAGTTCAGAGGCTTTACCAATCTCTAGACCTTTTATTTCATCTTTCTACTTTACACATGTAAGCATAAAGATTATGATGTCTAGTTCAGAAGTCAGTATGAGAAAGGGGACTCATGAACTGAGTGATTCAAGTCATCCCCTGCTCCTCAGCAGCTGTCCTTTCCTTCCCTTACTTGGTCCCCAGACATCCTTGAGGCTAAAGAACATGTCATACTTATCTTCACTGTACTAGCACACGACAATGCCTTTAAGGTTTGATGACCATCTGTTGCATCAATGATGGATGGGGTAAGTCAGATGGAGAAGAGGCCCAGAGCACAAATGCTCTGATCACGAAGAACAGGCAAAAAACTGAGGTCTTACTGTGACTCTGAGCTCAGATCCAGAATTAATATAGGCCTATTTCTTATTCAGTGAATGAGGGATAATGTCCTAGCATCTCATGCTTCAGCTCCACACAAACCCAGTTACAGACACAGCAACAGGCAATAGACACTGGATTATTTCCTCCATTTCCATGCTTCTCCATTTATCAAAACACAACATTTAGCCCAAAGCAGAACACAGCATAGATTTGAGGAATCTAGTAGTAACATCAATTCATCACTGTCTCTTTCTTATTTTCTTTTTTAACTTTACAAATTAACTGTCGAATACACTAACCTTTTCAGCTTAAAAGCTGCACCAGTTTTTATCAGATTTAGCCCTAAGAGACCCCGGAGGATTCAATTTCAGCAAAAGTGACAGGAAGCCACTTTCAAAAGCTCAGCATTAGAAACAGAAATAAAGAGGACCAAACTATGGTAACCTCTTCTGTACAAGTGGGTTTTGTCACTGGGTGTTTTAAAAGCTTACCAATGTAACCATCTACATCTATTTCAAAGTAGCTCATCTAGTCACAAAATTGTTCTGCACCAATTTCAATTAAGCCAAATTAGTTGTATTCCCTTTTCCTGAATCAGAGTATAAAACAAAGAAGGAGACTCCATCATGTGTGTGTGTGTGTGTATGTGTGTGTTTTGAGTCATTAACTAATAAAGTATAAGAAAAACAATCTGTTTTGTCTATAACATTAATTTTTATGTATATTAAAATGGTGATCACCCTGCACAGGATTGGATAACTCAATTCAATACTAAGTAGCTATATTTTGTAGTGCTCTATAATCTTACAAAACATTTGAAGAGGCTACAGAGATGGCTCAGCAGTTGAGCATTCTTACTGCACTTGCAGAGGACCTGAGTTCGGTTCCAAGTACCTACTTGAAGGCTCACAATTGTCTACTCCTCTAGTTCCAGGGTATCTGATATCCTCTCCAGCCTCTGTGGACTCCTGCATGTGTGATATATATACCCAAGCAAGAACACACATATATACCTATAATAATAAATGTAAGAGACTGCATACAAGCGTTTTTTCTATAGGTATCTTATTGACTTTAAACAAGTAGGGCCACCCACCCACTTACTTACAAATGGAGAAACCAAAACCTGGCTTCATCACATGAGATATTTGGCTGCTGACCTGGAAAGTGATGCCAGCCTGGAACTCAGGTGTGTGACTTAGCCCTCAATGACGCTGAGCCAGACTGGACTAGACACCCAATTGTACTCCTTCTGCATCAGTCACTGCTCTGTTTTGGGTTCCTTACCTGTAAAACCTGTGTAACACTAGCATCTCTCTGGAACCATTAGATGAGCAATAATTATCATATCACCATTCTCAGGATGTTTTCACTATGCCTTCCACTATACTTCTCACACACTGGTGTCCTTCATGAGCAAGGCCATTTATTTTTCAATCATTTTGTAGGTGCTAGAGAATTTTTAAGACAAAATCCCAGGAGCAGCCCACACACATATAATCTCAGCACTCAGAAAACAGAGGCAAGAAGACCATGAGTTTGAGGCCAGACTGGGCTCCACGGCAATTTCTGGGCTAGCCTGTGCTACCAAGCAAGGCTCTGTCTCCAAAACATAAAAACAAAAGAAAAATAAGTAGATAAAGCTTTATTTCAATGTTATTACTGTGTTAATTTGGGTGAGTTACTAAAACCTACTTGAGCTCCTTGTCCCTAAAACAAAACAGAAATCAGAATCACTATTACCTATGGATACTATCTCCATCAAATAAGATAGTTCCCCTAACTATGTACCTTGTGCTGGACAGACATAAGCACATTGTAATGACTAATCCCCAGACACACATGCAAGCAATGTTTCTGCAGTGGGAACTCTGGTTTGCTGCAACAGGAACTCTGGATCATGTAGTGTCATTCTCAGAATTTCAAAGGGTGTGTGGAACAGTAAGTTCTCTGAAGCTCCCCTACCCCATGCCTCAGTGTCTTCCCTTCTCAGTGTGGCCATCTTAGATAAGTGAGAGCTTAGGGAGAGACTTCTTATAGGGCAGAGCATGGGATGATGGAACAATTATTCACTAGACCTCAAGTGTATGTTAAAGCAATCACAGCAACTAAATTCTGAGGGAGGAATGGCACCTCTGTGGAATGAACAGTCTTTACAACGCTACTGGAGATGACGCAGAGAACACCAGAACGTTTCTCAAATGACTGCTAAGGTCACGCTCCATTCTAAGAGCATGCTGATTTTCACATCTCAATATTTTAATCATTTCCATAGCTTCCACTAGCTGAAGAGTGATGGTACTGTAATGTGAACTTCAAGCCCAAGCCACAAGTGCAAATCTGACCTCAAGTTCTTATTTCCACACTGTTGCTAAGGCTTGAAAGCCACTGTTGTTCAAAGAGAAACCCTATCTCTGCCCCAGAACTGGTAGACCACAACTAATTCAATGAGGGGATATTAGGATTTGGTGAGGCCACTGATGCACAGGTGGTAGGGACGTAAGTCACTTGGACATTGTATCTTCACAGGGTCTGGTGTTGAAACTCACTCACAGAACAAAGGTAAGTGAAAGTGATCTTAGGCAGGACTTCCAGAGTTTAGACAGCCACCTCCCACAGAGCCTGTAAATAAGCACAGGCAAACCTGAGAAATTACAGGAACTCTGAATGATATGTCTTTTCAAGTGACAAAGGTGGCGTGAGTAAAGATGAGTCATCTCCAAGGAGCAATATCACAGGTGTTGAGGACAACATACAAACTGTGCGGCAGCAGCAAGCCTGCTCTAACAGTAACAGTCCACGAGCAGGGCTACAAACTTCTATCAGCCCAATAACCCTTTGATTTGGGGCGGGGGGTGATAGGTGGTGGTGGTGGGAATAGGAGGATTGTTTTATTTTGTTTTGTTTTGTTGTTTGGAAGGGGTTTTTTGTTTTTTGAGACAGGGTTTCTCTATGTATATCCATGGCTGTCCTGGAACTTGCTCTGTAGACCAGGCTGAACTCAAACTCACAGAGATCCACCTACCTTACTTCCCGGGTGCTGGGATTAAAGGCCTGAGTCACCACTGCCTGGCCCCTTTGATGCTCAGATTTAATCTCAGGGCAAACAACTTCTGCAGAAGACTGAAAAGACATCATCTCCCTGGGCCTGGAAGCTCTTTCAGATAATTTGCTTCTGCTCGTTGTGTGTGTGTGTGGGGGGGGGGGGTCTGGGATGGGGCAGTAGATGAGATGACAAAGAAGAAAATACAATCCACAGATTTGATGGTGAGCCCCTTGAAAGATCTTAAAAGGCAATTAAATATAATTATCAGAAGATACCACTAGGCCTGATCAATTCTATCTCAACTAGGAGATATCCACCCAACGGCTAGTGAACCACAGTGGACATTCCAAACCTAGGAGGTAATTTAGGTGTGGAGATGGAAGCCTGAAGTATCAGCATTTGGGAGGCTGAGGCACGAGGATCCTTGAGGCTTGGTGGCCAGGCAGAATAGCCTCCCCAGTGAGTTCCAGGCCACTGAGAAACCCTGTCTTGAAAAATAAGGTTGACTATTTGTGAGGGGAGACATCTGTAATTGTCTTATAGCCTACACACACACACACACACAGAGAGAGAGAGAGAGAGAGAGAGAGAGAGAGAGAGAGAGAGAGAGAGAGAGAGAGAGAGAGAGATCAGAGCCCTTTCCAGGAGTACCTACTAGCATCTTCTCAACAATCAATTAAAGTGGATCTGGTCAAATCTCTATTTCTGTAAAACTAATTCACCCAAGGCTGGGGATATAAGAGTCCTGTCTTGCTTCCAGCCACATCGCTACCAAATATTACAGCACAGACTCACGGGGCTATAGCTAAGAGGCCACTCTTAAACTCTGAGAGAGGAATCACAAAGTGTGACTGACTTCCCAGGGTAAAAATGACTGGCTGTGCCAGGGTCAATGGAGAAAGGTTTGAGAGAGCAAACAAATCCTAAAACACAGTCATTTCAAACAGAAAGCCCAGCAAAGCCATGTTGCTTTGCATGAACTTTCATTTACTTTTAAGATAGTTTACCTTTTTACTGTTGGCTTAAAGTTAGGTACATTATAGTGGCAATGTTTTGTCTTGTATAACCACTTGTCACAGGAAGAGCCATTCCTATCAACTAGACCAACTTTGGGTTTTGTGCTTGTCTTCTAAAAAAACGAACACTAGATGGCAGAAGGAGCACACAGATTTCAAAGCAGCGTGGCAAACTGGTCACTGTGGCAGCAAATTGCGTCACAAAAATCTAAATCTTAAATTTCCTTATCATTATTCAGCATATCAAGCGAGCCACACACAGATGTACATTTATGATTATATAAGTCTTTGGCTTTTCCTGTGTTGAGGATCTTATTGCTTTTCATTTTTAGTTCACATCCTGATTTCTGATATCATAAAAATAGTTTTACACAATATTTCCTAAAAACAGCATCAACTAAATTTTATTTATTTGCATGTAGATGGATAGTTTTATTATAAAACCA